TGTATAAACATTATACTATATAAATTATACTCTCCTCCTATGATTTAAGAACAATGCTATACAAAACACAAAATCTTTTACTGAAATATTTAGCACTTTTTTGCAAGATTTAGTTTGAATACAACTCCTCAAAAATTTGACATTAATATATTGTTACTTCGTGACATCTACAAATCCATGTGGCAACTTTTATAAATAAAAAAAAACTTTGGATGAATGCAATTCCCCATGAGGGCCTATAATGTTTTTCTAAATCATGCAACTCTTTTTCGTATAATTTGATGTCGTGACAAATAATTTTCTGAATAGTTTTCTACTTTTCTCCTGCTGCAAGTTTTGTGCCATCATATCAGGTTGACGCAGGTGTCGAGTCTGCGTCCCGTATTCAAAATAAAACCCTTAAGCTTCAATTCGAGAGGAGATCACGCGTTTACCTCGCATTTTACTATCAGAACGAATGTCAGTTTTATAGTTATAGTTGTTGTTCGGTGCCCGAAACAACACAATTCTATGCTATGGTTATTTTTCCATGCTTGTACCACCTCCCTACACGATGTAAGATTTCTACAATCTTAGGAAAATTCACCAGATGAATTTGAAAATTCTTCAAAATCAATTTTGAACAAAGTTCTATGTGAAAATTAATTTAAAGAATTATTACGTTCTTTTAATGAAAAGTTAACTTGAAACTAGTAGTGCATGGCGTCGTGCCTTAAGACAAATTGCTGGAACTTCGCGTACACTAATGAAACAGTCTCTTTTTACTTGCTCACCTATCTACCTTTGTTTTTGCTTACTTCTCATTTATTTTGTCTACTAGTTTGCATGTCTACCTGCAGATGTGCTAATTAGTTTTTAGCAAAGGCAGATCCAACCGTTTCGGAGATACAAAGCAAAGAGCGCAGAAAATAGAAATCCGATTAATTAATCCGAGCAGAGCATGCGATTTGAATGATCTAAAAAATATTCAATTCGTATTGATGTGGAGACGTTGTGGTCAGATTTTGACAAAATCAGGTCTAGAGGTTTTGAAACTTTAAATAAAAAAACTTACTTTATTCAAATTAAATTCAACATTTACAGTGTACCCCAAACAACTCACAAAATCTCTCATACAACTATGTGAGAAAAATATATGTGGGATGACTTAAGAGCGATTTCGATATTCTATTTCGATGCAAAGTGACCGGTCGAAACGGACTTTGGAAAAGTCGAGCTATTTGTCTCCGGGGGTTTCGTTCGAATAAAAGGGGTTGGATTGAAAGATATTGGTATTTGGCCACCTTTTCAACCCTTATATCGCGCACTTGAGGGTTGTTTATGAAAAATATTCAATTCATCAAAGTCCTATGATAGAACGTTCAATAGTTACAAGCGTTCAATAGTTACAACCATTAAATTCATGAGGACTGTTCTATAATATCTATTCATCATGGAATCAAGATAATAATTTAAGTCTCAACATCACCAATTAAATAAATATTTTGCTGCAAAATTAATCTTGATTCCATGATGAATAGATATTATAGAACTGTCCTCATGAATTTAATGGTTTATAAATATTCTTATGTATCATAATATTTGAGTGACGTGACAGATGGCGCACGAATTTAGTTAATGTCACATTTTAGAAATAAATATATGAAACTTAATGCACATAAAAATTATTGTGCGCTCTATCTAAATGTTTATATAAAGAGCTAATACTATTAAAGAATCATTTTTTATTGATTTGGAAGCTTTTGCGCCCGTGGGAGCAAAGAAATTCGAAAATGTTCTTGTTAAGGACCACCCTAATATATATATATATATATATATATATATATAAATATATATATATATATATAAATATATATATATATATATATCATTTGTCATATTGTTTTATAGGGTTGACGCCAAACCAACAATACCATTCAATAATATTCATTTTCACAACATTGTTCCGATGTTTTCCAATACGACATGTATTAGAAACGGTTGTTTCAGACCATCGTTATTTATATGTAGAAGTCTATTGATTTATTTAGATTCAGGATAAGACATATTTCATAAATATTTATTATTTGAACATTGTGGTATTAATACGTTTTCTTATAGCTGAAGTGGAAATAAATCGACTATATTGATGAAGAAATTGTTATAAATTTGCTTAAAATTGCAAATACACATATAATCTTACTATATACAATTAATAATCTAGTGTCTCAAAAAATAATGAAGTAAGTAAAGAGCGACTGTCACAATACTGATATGATTTTAGCAATCTATAAAAATATAGAAGGTTTTAATTTAGAACATTTGGTTTTTTACTTGCGTTCTATTTGGTTTTTTATTACCGTTCGCTTTTATCAAAAATTGAATAAAATGAATATAAATTTCTAATGGCAATTTGTTGTATTTTTCCAACTGGAACAATATTGAAACAGAATTAACTGAAATCAGTTTGTCATTTCGAGGAATTATCCACGCAATACGAAGCTGAATCTAAAGCCCTCAATCGTGTTTGAATTTAAATTAACTTGGGAATAAATATGGATAACAAGGCTAAATTGGATATTTAAACGTAATCAACTTTTAAATCCGGCTCAAGCTGTTTGTGGTTACCGTGTTGGATATTATATGAACAAGAGTTAGATGTAGAAATAAATATAATAAAATTATACTAAATTGTATAAACCCATGCACTGATATTTTATTAACTTCCCGTAGGGTTAGCTATAGTAATGGGAAAAATTGAAACTGAAAATGACTGCATATTTTCACGTTTCAAGGCTTTCTGAACATTTTGGCATACTTCAGAAAAAATGAATATGTTTTGTGTGACCGCAATTTTTCATCCATCGTTCATATCAACAATTCACATAATAAAATTGTAATGTTCTTTTGTATATGTAACTTATAAAATTAAAACAGAAACCCCAAACGTAATGATGCTTTATAAATCTCTCATTACACAATTTGATGTTCAACAGGGGGTGGTTTAGATATCTTTAAAATCGTTTGTTTACCCTAAAGGGTTTGTCCGCACGCGACTGGCACGCGTCTTGGATAAATGTTAACATGGATGTTCACAAATAAGGTTTACATCGAATTAAAGGTTAAACCCATTATAATTGCACCCTGTATTACTTCCACCACTTCCCTAAATATATAAATATTAAAACCATCGTGCCTTAAGGCAAATTGCTGGAACTTCTCGTACCAGAATTAAATATTCAAGAAAAAAAATTAATGATCAATAAATATTCTTCAATGGTTAGTAACAATTATTTTAAATAATTTCAAAGAGATAATTATAATTACTATATGTTTATTTATTCGTTCATATAATATACAGTGACGAGGTTATGGCTCAAAACACTTAAAAATGTTTACATTAAAAAGAGATACCGAATGAATCCATCTGAGGATATATTTCGGACGATTGCAATAACGCATATAAAATATATATATTTTGAAATTTGAAAATTTTGAAATTTATTTGAACCTCGAAAGTGAACTTCAAAATTAGTACACATCTCAAGAAAATATCTATTAATGTGATATGCATATGTCTAATGATCAGATTAGACCGCCAAATATCTTTTTTTGTCTTTCCAAAAATTTAATCAATTTTTTATTTTGGAAAGACTAAGACAAAGTAAAATATTTTTTGAATCATTCAAATCGAGCCCTCTACTTCAAAAACTGATGTATCATTTATGGCACTTCCTGCTCCGTATCTACGAAACGGCTAGACCTGTCTTCGCCAAAAACTAATCAGCACATCTCCTTATCAGTAGTAATCGAATGTGTTTTGAATCATTTAAATCAGTTAATCCATGCGTCTGAGATTGCAGATGAAAAATTGTATCCATATATACATACATACACACACAAATCTATTTTTTCTAAAGTATGCCAAAATGTTCAGAAACCTTTGAAACGCGAAGATATGAAAAAATTTTCATTTTCGATTTTTTTGCGATTACTATAACTTACCCTAGTAAAAGTTGAAAATAGTACTTAGGGTACAAAGATTTGTCGAAAGTAACAATAAGAGAAATTATAGCAAGCATTTGAGGTTACAGCCGATTTTTCCAAAAATAGGATATCTTAATTGAAGTAACTAGACATTAGACGTAATTGTCATGTCAATGTCCTTTCTCATGGTCTTTGATTGCGAGATATTTAAACCTCAGAAAATACGATCTCGTGGTCTTTTCGAGCAAATCGTTCCATGTCAGATGTGTGTCTCCTTATCGCAAGGATGACGGCGCGAAATTCAAATCTTGCATCTGTGGCGGATTATTCGGCAACGATTGATGATCCTCAACGCGAACCTCCGACACGGCATACATCATGATGCTAATGGAGCGACTTTATATGGTTTATATGGAATTGTTGAGCAAATCTTTATTAATGATGAATATTTATGATGCGAAAGAATTGTAATGAAATGAAATAAAATCACGAGTTTTTAATGTCACTGCCATCAACGCATCACCCAACAATATCACCACCACAAAAATTTATAGGAGATAATGTCCGGCTATTCAAAACTGTTTCCATATATTTAAAATTTTATATCCAAACTTCCAGACTTGAAACGTAAGTACCATCCCCAATAAATAAATCAGGAAGAAAACTTTGCTACACAAATCCGCAAAAACTGCCCTTAAAATATGTGATTCGCGTACGTGCATTTAGAAAATTAGCATGCGAAGTGCACACATTTTTCTTTCGCAGGACTAATCAGTTTTCCGAATCCTTTTAGTCCTTGACAGGATTTTAGGCAGGAGCGGTTTCGGTAAGTGAAATTAACGACCTCTCTATGAAACCGCGCGACGATTTGTAACCGAATTACCGTCACTTGCGGAGATTGCGAAAGAGTCTGTTGATGTATTTTTAGAAAAGTATTTTGGGAAAAGCTCACACAAATTGAAAAATAGTTGTTTGTGGGAAAGTACAGACTTAAATTTTAAAAGCATGGTAATAAAATATATAAATCTGCTTACCGGGACAAAAAAACTGGTGTTTTTGGGGTTGCATGTCTTTCAATCTCGTGCAAGCTATGTTTTGGCTTTTTGGTCACTTTTATAAATCTGTAATAATAAATATCAGATTATGATTAGTATGAAAAATATCTATACTTATAATTAGTATCAGAAAAATGTCGAAAGCATGTTGCACAGGGTGTATAGTTTTAGAAAAATTTGTTTTATATGTGTACAATTTATTTAAGTACTATTGTATTTCTATTTGTATTATTGTTTATATATGATATTTATACTTCAATACATAATTAAGCCATTTGCAACATATTTCATACAAATTATTGATGTTCGATGTCATTGTATACAAAGGGCAACGCTAAAGGATTAATGGCAACTATTTGGTTCATATTCTTTATATTATACAATCGATAAATATTAATCATTTTCAGCTAGATATATTTAAAATTGGAAATTAAATGTAGGGCACATAGTTAACAATAATGTCAAGTAAGAATTATTTTAATACTCATATGCTTTCCTGGTTAAATTCGCTGAAAACTCGAAATATCGTCTGATGAAATACAATTAAATTTGTTTGGCCGCAAAATCTTAGCAGCTCGGATTTTGATAGAGGGTCCAAGTGATTCAATATACACATATATGTGCATAAAAACATTACCAGTATTCAAAAATGCAAAAACGGTGTGTATTAGCCTACATGCATTGATTTATATGTCTGTATACCCGTAGTTTAAAATTCATTCTACATAAAATTTATATAATTCGCAGTGCAAATAATCAACACATTAATCCTCATTATATCTCATGATTTAAATAAGCCACATTTAAAAAATATATCATAAAAGCAAGCTTCAGGCACGTACAAAATCGAGCAATAAAAATTAAAATAATCTGATTGTAAATATTGACCCCTCATCCGCATCCAATTTTAAATTGCGCTAAAATAATTTGTCAAACTAATTCTGGTAGTGAGCATCGAAATAAATTATAAATTTATTGGCCATCATAAACAAGCCATTCGCGAAAAGCGCGTTCGGAAATTAAATGCAATAAATCATTTCGCTGCGATAAATTGTGATATACACACAAATAAAAATGACAACCTACAAAATATCATTAATATAACGCTGTCGATATACTGATCGAATACTTTTCAATTTTCATATTATACCCGTGTTGTGCTATAACACGTACTGCAGCGCAAACAATAGTTCAATTATTTTAATTGAATTTGAAAATTTATAGATATGTCCCCGGCTTGGAAACAGAATAGGATGCGCGGGTAAATTCATACAATTAGGTCAAATAAATTATCTGCAAAATGGATTTATTAAACTATGTTTTAATTTCCGCAAGTGGATAAGTTGTGGATAAAGAAATAGTTAAACTAGATATATGTGTCATTTTTTGGCTTGCCAACTCGGATGCCACCATACCGGCAGCAAAATACCTCATAAAACCTGCAATGTACGAGTGCAAAGGATCTAATACGAGTACGAGTCTTATTTTACGAAAAAAACTGCAAAATATCTAACAATGCGTCAAATTGACGCTATTGCTTAATTATTCAAATAAAAGAATTAATTAACTTTCCTTAGGGTAAGTTATTATAATGTCCACCCCAATCGAAAATGAAACGAATGAACATTTTGGAAACATATCTTAGAAAAAATGGATGTGTGTGTTTGTATGGATATTATTTTTCATCCATGTTTTTGGGAACTTTGCGAAAAAAATGGATGTGTGTATGTATGGATATTATTTTTCATCCATGTTTTTGAAAGCACGGATTAACTGATCTAAATAATTCAAAAGTTCGATTCGAACTGACGGGGAGACTTTTTTTTATTGAATTTGACCAAGTGACAATTTAAATAAGTTTGATTTTACAACTTGATTAGCTTAGCAGAAAAGCAAGTTTTATAAGAAAGCAATAAAGCAGAGCCTACATAAGAATGCTGTTGCCCCCGAACCCTTCTTTAATAAAAAAAGTTATTTACATTAAAAATAATTCGTACAACCTGACTCAATTGATTTAATTTCGTCGCAAACAAATCTATAAATCTAATAAGTAACATAACTGCTAATGGAACCATTTGATACAGCAGTTCTCATATTTTTTTCTTTTTCATAATTCAATAACTAAGAGGGTTCGATCTTTTTGCGAGTAGTACGGGGCCGCTCTCCGACTATATATTAAAATTAATGTTTGACTTATTGTCAGGAGTTGAGAAGTGTTATGGACTATAGCCGAAACGGGGGTGTGAAATCATTCGGGGCGATTTTAAAAGAATCATTTTAGAAACAGGGGTTGGGAGAAATATATAATCTGTTATACCAGTAAACGCCCACTGGGAAATGAAATTTGATTCACTGTTTTTAAACAAAAGGATGGGCAGTCTTAATTTTGGCAGATTATTCATGGACAATAAAATTTTAGACTAAGATATAATTTTTCTCATGTAATGTATTTAATGTACTAAATAATATATATATATATATATATATATATATTATAAAAATGTTATAAGGAATGTTAAGAAGTTAATAGTAAATAATCATGTTACATAATGTGGAAATCATGCACTTTTACTTCTTCGGTTCAAGAACTCAAAAAAACGATTCAAATGAATCACCTGTATATAAACCAAAGCAAATTACGACCTTGCCAATATTAGATCTTTCAATAAATAATTTAAATTTCATCAATTATTTTATAGTTTGCATGCGACCAATAATCCCTCGTCAAATGACTTGAAAAATATTTTATTGAAATCGTATACTCTGTTTCGAAGAAAAATCTCATTCTTTCAAAAATTAAAGAACATTAATATCATTCAGCTAGCTGGCTGTCAATTTATTAATAATATGATTCTCAGAGAGCAAGAAATATAAAAAGTCATATTCCGTAATGCACAGTACCATATAATAGACAGAGAGTTGATATCAATATTGCATCAAACATTGTAAGTACTTTTAATTTATCGTGAAAATAATGACGCTTATATTTAAAATTATTAGTATTTTAGAAAATGAATCCTAAATTTTGTATGCAAAGAATCCTGATAAGATATATTAGAAATTTTATTTGCAAAGATCCTAACGAAACACAGTACCGTTAAAAATAAATACGAATAATCCAAAAGATGTTCCGAACATTTTTTGTATTTTATTACAAACAGCCTAAGAAAGTAACAGTAACAGCCCGACTAAAATTTAAAAAAAAATTAGAAAGTTAATGATTTCCCCAGAAAATCTTATATTTTATATTTCTGGATTCTAGTCATTCGAAGCGTTTTATGCCAAAAATGGAAAAAATATGTGCCTATATTTTATTATTCAAAACATTTTATGAAATTTTCTGATAGATTTAATAAGACATTAATTTCATAGGTGCAAATCTGATTGATTTTAAAATATAAACTAATGCTTTAACTATATAGTAGTCATTATTAACCTTACATAACAAACTATCAAAAATTTAAGAATTATTAAGTTCAAGAGAAAATCAGTTTCAATAATTAAACATTATTTAAAATAAATATAATGTCTTACTATTGCTTAAGAAATATAAGTTACAATTTTTATGAATAATATTTTCATTATAACTTATTTCTGTGTCAAAAAATAAAAAATTATTACTGAAAATGTTTGAGTTAAAAAGAGTTTGTTATAAACAATCATCTGATTTAGACTAATCTCTGTAACAAAAAAAATTTTTACCCGAAACAAGTTAATTGAATATCACCAAAATATTGGAACCTCCATGCCTATACTCTGGACGGTCAATATAATGAACATAAATAGTGATAATAGATAAGGATCTTTACACCAGCTCTCAGTTTACCGGTTTAATTAAACTTTAATATCAAACTTGATATAGCTGAAAGTTTCTGTCGCATTCGTATAAATCATGATTAACGCTTCAGATATTTTTTAATATTGGCGTAAAATTAATATTCATGGAGATGGCAGCTGTACGGTTATAAGTGGCGACATATTTCTTGTACGTAAATCAGGCGTTTCGGTTTTATTGGGCTCCGCAGGGACATGGTGCATGCAAACAACAGAAAAAGAAAGTTTTTGCACGTTCGACAGAGCTCGTTTGATATAAATTATAATTCGAGGATAAGAACTGAATTCGGAAAGTTTTGTTATTTATACTCGTGAAATTTTTATAATTACTCGAAACGAATAATTTTTGTTATGTTTGAAAATTGGGACAATTCTGCCGTAAAATAGACGAATGTTATGGTTACGCTGCTTTTTAACTTCCCGTAGGGTAAGTTGTTATTGTAATGGGCCGAAAATTGAAATTGAAAATTTTTACATTTCTCGACGTTTTGAAGGTTTCTGAACATTTTGGCATACCTCAGAAAAAATTGATGTGTGTGTGTATGTATGCAAGGATACAAATTTCCAGTCACGTTTTCAGGCGCACGGATTAACCGATTTGAATGGTTCAAAAAACTGATGATTCCTATTGATAGATAGATGAGCTGATTAGTTTTTGGCAAAGGCAGGTCCAGCAGTTACGGAGATAAAGAGCAAAGAGTGCAGAAAATAGATATCGAGTTTTTTTTAGAGAACGGAGCATGCGATTTGAACGATCTAAAGAACATTCAATTAGTAATGATTGGGAGAAGTGGTTATTAGTTTTAGGCAAAGGCAGGCCTAGCCATTTCGGAGATACAGAGCTAAATGTGCAAAAAATGGCAGTTTTTGAGAGAACTAAGCATCCGATTTAAATGATTCAAAGAACTTTCTGCTTGTCTTAACAAAATAATTGATTTTGGAAAAAAAAATTGTCTCAACTTTTTTTTTTCCAAAAAAAAATTTGTATATCAAAAATAATTCAGATTTTATTTTTAATTCTGACTATAGTTCTAATATACTTTAAACAAATAATTTAAACTTTGCAATTCAGTTTATATAATTCTTATAAATATTAGACAATGTTACAATATTAATAAAAATCTATTTGAAAACATTCAAAATTCCTTGAACATTTCGTTGCGGTACGGGAAGTTCCAGCAATTTGCCTTAAGGCACCATGCCATACACCCCACTAGTTTCTTGACGTGTGT